ACCAACAATTTTCTTTACGAAATATAGTAAATGGAGTGAAAATAGAAAAAGAGAGAGAAGAAAATTATATTTAATATATGCGTATGGCAATAATATCAAGGGGAACAATAATGAAAAATAAAAATTATAAATGTGGTATGAGTCAAATTTGCGTTACTTTGCATGTCCGATTGCGGCTGTGTTTATGTTTACTTGCTCGGGATCTAAGTCAATCTAAGTACTTGATCGATCGTTGAAGCCAAAGTAGCCATTTTTTTCTTCTTTCCGCGACGTGAGCAAAGAAGTTTGGTGAGGACGCGTATTGGGTAAGAGATTACTGATTAGCTATCGAATTTAATACCTACTTAAAGAAAATCATAATTTTCCTCGTGAAAGCTGTATTTATGTTACATATTTTACGTACACACATCAAAAAAAGTTTGCGATCAATAGCATAAGCTCCTATAATTCTTTAAATTTAACTTTACCAAGAAAAAATCTATGTTGTCTTAGAATAATAACGCATAGAATGATAGTTTCATATCAAACGAACTGTCACAAGTGAGGCAAAAACCAAATTCATGTAGGCGTAAGCAACTTGTAACTACGCTCGTCGGCACGCACACAAATATACAAATAATGATGCCATGGAATAACATTTCCCTCAAAAGTGGGGAAATTGTATCTTGCTTAACTCATCATTAAGTTAAAGGTGCCTACAGATTTGCCCGACATTGTCGATCAGGTGCCTACAGATGTGCTCAGTTTTGTCGATGAAAAACGAATATAGCACTTATTTGTAAATCCAAGATGGCGGACACGATTTTTCAAAATATGCTATATGGGTATCCTTTTCGAGGTATTTGGGGATGCTCATTACGAATATGGCACTCATTTCTAAATCCAAGATGGCGGACACGAGTTTTGAAATAAATGCAATATGGGTATCATTTTCGAGGTACTTGGGGATGCTCATGACGAATATGGCACTCATTTCTACATCCAAGATGGCGGGCACGATTTTTCAAAAAAA